AAAAGAGCCAACATAATTACTCGGCTTCCTTTAGGGAGCCGGGAGACCCCATAGAGTTCTAGCCGCCTCCTTCTTCTTCTTCTTGGCGACCACACTTGGCGCCTGAAGCCGTCGAGCGTGCCTCCGGCCTCGCCTCCCTCCTCTCTCTCACTCGTACAACAACTCACGAACTTGCATCGGTAGGGATCGGATTCCTATCGGTTTAACAAGATGAGGTCGATCCGCAAGAGCCCGATTCGCAACAAAGATGAGTTTACACAGTAGCTCATGTAAAGGATGTCCCTCATAGATAAATGGATCTGCACCTGATGCTCATAACTTTATCATACACACCGCTGAGAATGGAAATTTTACATTAATAGAGTCGAGACAGATCAATTGGCATATTTTGTAATGTGGGGGTAAAATGATAGCTTAAGTGCAAGACAACAGGTATGCATGAGGAGGAAAGTTCAAAACGAACTTTTTAGAAGGGCAACTCGGTGGTAGATGATCCTATACCACTTAACAAAGTGAAAAATGTGTTACTGATTAAGATCTACTTATGAATTTGTTTACTGTGAGCCCAGCACTTGGGTTAGGCCCTTCAAATGAGTGTCAGTGTGCCTACACCTGGGACGGCTACTGAAGAAGAGGAGAAGATGGATGAAGAGCGGGAGGACATGGATCAGGAGTTAAGCCCAACGCGTCCAAGGAGGCCCATCCGAGCTACCAAGCATAATACCAAATACTACGGCCCACAATGGGCAGCGGCAAGTTCCCCTCTGCCAGCCGTGGGTGTGTGTACAAAGGAGATAGGAGAGGAGTCGAGAAGGGGTAAGGAAGAAGGCAGTAGGAAGCTAGAACTTGGCCGGCTGTGTCTGGATGGCTATTGCGAGATGAACTCGTCAGTACCCAGATCTTGTCTTACATACTGAACTATCCACAAATCGAGTAGAATTAGAGTCGTGACAATGAGGTGGCTCTGGTTGCAAAAAACTGAGCCTAATTGACCTTGGGCTGCCTTCCCCATACATGTCCATTTTTTGGTTAGTGCTTTCTTCTCAGTGGCCATCATTTCAGAATTTTGGGAATGGAAAGAACACCCTTTTTTGGACCAATAATTGGTTGCACAGTCAGTGTGTATCATCTCTTGTCCCTCACTTGTTTGGACTGTTTTCTAAAAGGCGAGCAGAGCAAAGAACAGTTTGCGATGCTTTGGCAGAAATTAGTTGGATTTCAGATCCAAGGTACAGTTACTGTTACGGTCATTGCTGAATTTCTTGATTTATGGGACCTTGTCTCAAAGGTGGAGCTGCACCCCGAGGTTGAAGACGCCTACTTATAGCATTTTTCTACCAAAGGAAAGTACTCAACAAAATCAGCATATGAGGGATTGTTAGTTGGGGCTGTCTATTTTAGACCTTGGGAGAGACTTTGGAAAAGTTGGGCGCATGGCAAATGCAAATTCATCATGTGGTTGATTGCCCATAATAGGTGCTGGACTGCAGATCATCTTGCCAAAAGGGGTTACTGTATTAAGTGGGTCTCCCAGTGCAAATGATATCTCCTTTGATGATTGGTGGGAAACAACAAATGATAGAGTAAGTGGTCTGGTTCGAGAAGGGCTAAATTCCATCATCATTTTTAGGAGCATGGGCAATCTGGAATCACCTCAATCGCTGCGTTTTTATGGGGTTTTGCGAAGCTTGAATGAGGTGAGTTCTTGTGTAGTAGATGGCAAACACCCAACGGAGTCCAGTTGACTACCTGCTCATCAAAAACTACGTGGGCTGTGCCGGATTTTGGTTGGGTATGATTTGTAATTTCCGAGGAAGCAACAAATCCAAACGCAGGGGTGCAGACAGAGTGCAGTGAAGGAGCAACAACCCATCAGTAGCAGGGTTTAGTGATGCTGGCCAGGTGCAAATGCTGCAGTTGTGCTGGGGCACCAGAGACATGGATGGCAGGCACAAGCAAACAGGCACGAAATCAACCAAACAGAGCACAGTCTTCCACTAGGTAATTCTGTCGAGCACACACCATGCATCTACGATTGGCCGCGGCCCTCAGAAAAGGATGAAGAAGAGGGCCTGCTAGGGTCCAACAGAAGCCGTTGTGGCGAGCTTGAGATCGGCGTACGGATGCCGAGCGGCGACGTGCGTGGCAGCCGCCCATGTTGGCCTGTGCCGTAATCTACAAACACAGGCACAGCAATGGTTTGTGGCCGAGTTCAGGGGTGATTTGGCGCATGCCAAGGCGTAAGAACTCGATGCACTCGGAAGAACACCAGCTGCAAGTGACCAAGTACTCAGTAGCATAAGCAACAAACTAGTCACAACCTGCGCGAGCTTCACAAGTACTCAAGTAGCCTCAATCTGAATAAGAAATTCCACTAGTCCTTAGAGAAACTTGAATAGGAGATGAACAGCAGAATCAAATGCATCTACAGCTCCACCACCAAAGAAATTTCCATGTTGCAATCTGCACATGCTACATTGGCCTTGTTATTTAGTTGGTCCCGTACTGATTAATTTGTCCTCCACAGACTGATAGGAGGGAGGGAAATCAAAGAGAACAAGGATCCTTTGTTCAGCACAAGAGGAGATATGTATAATCCGGATCCGTCCGTGAGCATCTAATCCAAAAATATACGACAAAAAAAAAATCTGGATGCAAGCAGCAGCGATGTACCTTGAGATCGGACATGGCCGGCATGCGAGAAGACGTTGACGGCGTCGGCCGCACCGATTGGCAACGCAAGGGGGCCGCGCCGGGAATGCGAGCGCGGCAGGTGGACGCCGACGCGCCGTGACTGGGAGGTGATTTGCGCCAGGAAGGATGCTGCGCAGTGGGGACATGGGGATTGGGGAGGCGGACGACTTCACTGTTCACTCACCAGTCAACGGCTTGAACGCATCGACTGACTCCACAGCGATGGAAACTGGGGACCCGGAAAGACTGGCGAGACGGTCAGAGCATCATCTCTCCCTCTCTAAAAATCCTCGATAAAAATCTTTCTCATATTCTACACACTCTGAAAGTCGATCAGTAAAAGTTCAGATTCTTATAAAACGTGTCGGATTTAAATAATGCTACCATTATCCTCGCTCCACTCACTGCTGTATGCGCCGCTCACCTAAAAAAAACATGCCTAACAAAATCAACTCTCGCACGTCTCACACCGCTCCACTCCCGTCCTTACCCTTTCTGCGCTCCTCACCCCATGCCACAACGCACCAACGCCCCGCATCCTCCCTCACTGAGAGACCCCAACGCTCGTAGATCCGCGCGGCTCTCCCCCATTCAACGAGATCCATGGAGCAGGAGAGATTCATAGAGATGGCACGACGGTGTTGCAAGGTTTGGGCGGCTCTCCTCCACCCTAGCACGACGCCCTCCCCAGCCCTAGTGGCGTCCTCCCGCACCCAGGCGACCAAGCTCCCCCCACTCCGGTGGCCATGGCGCTCCTCGCCCCCCCCCATCCCCCATCGTCGCCGTCGAGCAAAGCCCGGTACTGGTGGCGGTGGTGGTCATGCGCCGACGCTCGCCACCGGCAACCGGCTCTGACCCCAACGGCTCGAATCGACCGGCCCAGGCTTCCCTTCTGCTATGTTCCAAATGTATATTTCAGGTGTTTCGATCGTTTCAAAGGTACATTGCAGTTATGTCTTATGGATATTGCAAAAGTAGACCGGGAAATGTTGCATATGTTACAAGTGTTTCAGAAACATGTTGCAAGCGTTTGTTCAAAAATGTTTTATTTATTTTCAGATGTATGTTGAAATCGTTTTTTTATTTGGATTTTGCATATGTTTTCACACATATATTGTAACAGTATGTTCCAAATGTTTCAATTGTTTCAGTCTTATGTTGCAATTGTTTTATCTATATGTTTTCATAAGCATGTTGATGTTGCAAGCGGATGTCCCAAATATTTCATCTATTTTCAAATGTATGTTGCATTCGAGTGTTTCATGTTGCAAGTACAGACCGCCGACGTTGGTGTGCATGAGGGTGGGCAAGCAGTGGCGGAGGCAGGAATATTTTCTAGGTATGGCGGGTTTATAAAGGTTGACCATGTATAATGTAACTATCAATTATGCAAGGACACACCGGAACATTAACAAAATATGTATATTACTATGTGATCAGCAAATATAACAGAAATCTAAAAGTAAAGCATTGGCACATAAAATACCTCACTAAATAAATCTTGTCGTTGGAACAAATACATACCCATATAAAGCTTTATTTGGGTGCAAAGCTTGACAATGGCATTCTTCTTTTTTCTTTTGAAATTCTTTTTTAATTTCAGTAAGATCAAGTCCAAATAAGCCTCGCTCAATGTAGCACACCATCATGTCATTAAGCCAAGCATCAGCCATCTTATTGCGTAACTCTTCAAATCTGTATAGAAAGTCACAAGACAAAAAAAGGCAAACAATGTTATCAAATTAAATAATACTCAAAGATAAAGTGTTTAGAATTCTAATTTCTGACCTTTCATCACATATCTGCTCTTCTTTGGTGCCATCGTGCAGTTGAAGCAGTTGCAGACTTGCAGGCGCTAGGCGTAGCGGAGGCGCGGAGCCGCAGCCGCTGTCACCGGCGTGGTGGACTGGCCGCGTCGAACTCGCGCCGCCGTCCGCCGTCCACCGCGTTGAGTTCTCGGCTTCTCGCGCCGGCGCCACCGTCCGCCGTCCACGGTCCAGGAACCACCGCGTTAATTGATCAGATCAAAATACGAAGAGGAACAGACGCGAGCAGACGAGGCCTAGGCTAGCTTCCTCCGTGCCTTCTGGTAATCGACGACACGAAGCCCATCAAGCAGAGGCGGAGCCCATCAGGCCTATCTAGCTTCCCTCTGTATGACCATATCACGTACGTATGTGTATGTATTTCAAATATATAGTACGTATATTCAGTATTTTTTATTATTTTAGGTATGGCGGCCGCCAAGGCTCGCCAGATACTTACCTCTGCCACTGTGGGTAGGGCTAAGCCGCGACCACCGACGCATGGAGGAGGCGCAGGGCGCCACCGGCGGTGTGGGGAGGAGGCACAGGCCGCACGGTGCTGCTGTGGAAGAGGTGGGGGCGAGTCTTTTAGACGGCCCGGAAGAGATGGTCGCCGCATCGGTGTGGAAGAGGCGGGGGCGAGTCATCCGAGCAGCATGGGCAGCGGACTTGAAGCGGACGGTTCGGATGTGAACGCGGGAAACAGAGTTGGCGTGGGTGGTGCGTGAATCCGAGCAGACGGGGCATAGCAGCCATGGACGTCCTAATGTCCGGGCGCTAGTGCTGCCGTTCAGATTTAGATTATGATTAACGAAAAATAGTTTTCCCAAAAAAATGAAAATATTCTTAAAAATTCAGAATTTTTTTGTGAGCCTATATAAGGCTGTTTCGCTTATTTACCGAGGGAAGTCATAAAAGGTAGAAACGTTTTACCTTCAAATCCCCATGCTGCAATCCTGTGTGGAAGTGTTTCAAGTGATTCTAGAGAGAGACTAAGATGATTCTAGCGTCCAAACGGCCTCTATAAAGAGATGGATCCGTTCTCCGTGTTTAGCTAGCGAAAACACAAGAATAGATGTTACCTATATTTATACATATCTAACTATTGGAGGATAATTTTTTTCACTACTGAAAAGTTATGAAAAGCCTCTTGAGGTTGCTCTTACCATCGATGCATATGGATTATTCCATCGCCCTCCGATGTGCCTTGTGGCCCCCGTTATTTCTTCATCTGCTTTTCTTATATATAAATAAATCAGTATTTACTGTGTGTCACTCTACTATGCACAGTACTATCAATTTTTTAAATAATATTATATCAATAAATAGTTGTAGATCTAGATATCATTAAATAAAAATTGCAAGACTATCATCCTATCAGTTATTGGAGACGGCACGATGATGCGACAGTCAGGTAACGAAACAGTCGATTTTCAAAAAGGCCAACAACAGTATGGTAAAGCCGACAAGGCCTGTCAGCAGTTACAGAGCAGACAAGCGTATCAGCAACTTGGTTGCCGACGTGCTTCTTAGGCCCTTTTTTCATGAAGTTACCGGTATGGAGGGAGAACTTTCTTCCTATTTGCATGAAAGTGTCATTGGTTCCTACAGCATGTGAAGTCTGATGGAGCCTCTTTTTGGATGCCGTAAATAAACTAACAACCTACAAAACAATATATAAGAAGTCAAAATCTAACATAATAGTCCTAATCATGGAGTACAACCATACCTCCAGCCTGGTCGCTTGGTCGTATTTGGCTTATAAGTCATGACTTATCAGGCAACGAACAATATTTTTCTCTCACACCAAACCAGCCAACAGTACGTTCAACCATGGCTTATAAGCCAAACCAGCCAAAACGAACAGGGCACTCATGTATCGCCCTCCAATCCTCCATCAACAATCTAATCACGCCGCGCACACACTCAACCATCACCTGACATGGCCAAGATGACCCCATCTTCAATAGGCTTTGGAAAACCTCTTTCCAAAGTAAACAAAGTGTTCTTTTGGTTAGTAACGAAGGACAGGATAAGTACAAAGAAACATGTAGAGAAGGAAAAGAATGCACCTAGATGGCTACAAATGTGTCCTCTGTCAACAACACGCTGAAGAAGGAATGGGAAAAGGCGACATTTGCTCTCCCCCCCCCCCTCCTGCCTTCTCGAACCCTCTCGCCTAGCTACAGTTGAGAGGAGTGAAAAAGGGTGTTCTGTGCTCCCACCTGCGAGGTCGCCGTTCCCTTCCGCCTCCGGCGGCCTTCGGGGCTCATATTTGTGGAGGAACGGCGGTTCTCCGCCTGGCGGTGTAGATTAGGTCTCCGTAGGAGTAGGTTTCCTAGTGGCGCTTGGTCGGTGGAGGCGGCGCTGCTGTTGTGGAATAAGGTTCCTCCTGGCCACCCTCCACCTCGCTGTCATGTGCTCCGGTGGTGGCGGTAGGCCTGTGAGGTGGGAGCCGAGTGGATCTGGAGGCCCAGCGGGTTCTTCAATTTGCGTCGATTATTGTTTAGGGCCTGTTCGTTTCCTGGGGAACCATGACCAGGATGTAATCCGGCCAGGATCGGGTGTTTAATTTGTGTAAGCTTTGTCCAACCGGAACGCTTCCTGACTCTTTTCCTGGCCTAACGAACGGGCCCTTAGGAGTTTTGAACCATCAGCTATGGTGACGATGACACAATGCTGGGAAGCTCGTGGGGTGATTGTTGATACGGGACCCATGGGATACCCCACAAGGAAGGGAGAAGATCTAGTCTAACTATGATTCTTTCCATGTAATCTAGTAGTAGTATTATTCTGTAATCCTACTAGAAACTCTAATTGTAAACCGACTAGGACTCTGACCTCCTGACTATATAAAGGAGGGCGGGGTTCCTAGAAGAGGGAGAGACATCACTTTACAATCAATCCAACGCAAAGGCTAACGCGCGACTGGACGTAGGGCTATTACTCGATCACGATCGAGGGTCCGAACCAGAATAAATCGACTGTCTCTTGCGTTTACCGTCGAGTTCTGCATACGCTGAAGCCCGAACAAACTGCCCCGGGTACCCCCGTGGCAGGCTATCGGTGGTGAAACATCGACAGTGATGCTACGGCTCGCGGTGGTTAGGTATGATGATTTGGCTCCTCCTTTCCCCGTCTCTCGACGGAATGGCCAGATCTAGGCCCGGGATGGCACGGAGCGTGTCCCTGGCCGATGCTCCCCTCTGGTTCTCTTCCCGTTCACGATGGGAATCTATTGCGGCTCCCCTCAAAGCCTGTGTGGGTGGAGGCTACTTTGTCCGTCCTGCTCCGGTGACTTCGTCGGTGACGGGATCCGGCTAGAGGAGATTTCTTTGGCGGACACAGAGGCGCTCAGGGACCTACATGTAATTTCCTTGTTTGTCGAGGGCCTTTGTGAGATTTGGTTGGGGCAGCTGTTCCGCCTGCACCCTTTGTGTAGTGTCTATATCTGTACGCGTCTTTACATGGTTTCCTTACATCGTAATATATATCGCGTACTTGTGATAAAAAAAAACAAGTTGCCGGGACCTGCTGGTTGGCTCTGAACTTTGCATACGCAGACAACCTCTCAATCTTTCAGATCATTGAGGCTTGGAGAACTTCTGTGACTGCTCCTTTTGCTTTAGACATCTTCATTCTTATATGCTGGTCCATCTGGATGATGAGGAATGAAGTCATCTTCAGAAACAAGATTGCTTCGGTTGATGATTGCAAGAGAAATCTCACGGCTGAGGCACTTATACTGCTACACAGGACAAAAGCAAGGATCACCCCTCTCTTAGAATCATGGATTCAGTCTCATTTGTAATTTACATGATCTTCTTCCTCTCTTTCTTTGTCTCCTGAACCATCTCTTCCCTTTCTCTCTCTTTGTAATCTCTGTGTCTGTCTTTTTATTTAATAAATTACAGTAGGAGCTTCTTCCTCCTCTTGATTCCTCAAAAAAAAAAAAAACCCATCATGATGATTCACAACCTCAGTATAAAATGTTTTGACAGGCGTGTTATCGTTAAGCCGCTTCACACCCCATCCGGTAGAAGCCCCTCTTTTAGTCTCCAAGGACCACCGCTAGTAGAACGATTTTGAGTTGAAGAATTTCATGTTTTAATTTTGGGGTCCAAATCGAACCTTATAAACTGTTCCAAAAACAGAACAACCAACTTCTCGTTCAGGAGAGAAATCACTGGTGATTTCATTCATAAACGTTGCCGGCAGGATTGTAGGTAGTGTACTCGCAGGACTCAGCTCGCTCTGTTGGTTTGCCATTTCTGAACTAGCAAATATGGATAGGACCTGCTACAAATCAAGTAACATCCGAAGGAGCAAGAAAATTTGCTCAACCACACATACATATAACAACGTCGAATTGAACTGAGTAGCATAAACCACAGGTGCAACACCGAATTCGCACTAGCATGATTGTAGTAAGCAAAACTGTTTTACAAATAACCTGATTCTTGTGAGCACTGACCTGGAGAAAAACACTTGAAGGGAACAACACTTGAAACCGATCGAAGGGGGCTGAGGTTCTGAGATGGATGCCTCCATTATTGCTGCAAAGAAGCAACCGCATAAACAAAGACAAGCTGCGCTGACTTGACCCAAGCCTAAGATGCCTAATGACAAATATGAGAGTTTATTGCCACACGCTTTGGTGACGCATGGCATAGTACGTGGCATGAACCTTCCATTGCTAGGCTCAGACATTTCCACTTGCCATGTAATAAAAAGTGGACCAACCTAGAAGGAACTAGGTGGCATTTTGTATTAGTAAGAAGAAAATAGACACCCAAATTCGCCTCGACGAGGACTTAAACCTGGGCTAGCTCAGCTTTCTCAATTGACCAACTGAGCTAGCTCAGCTTTCTCACTTGCTATGTAATCAAAATGAAGACTGTCATAACTGTATTCTCAGGCCAGTTTCGACAAGATCCCTCTGTTTGTTAGACAGAACATTCCTTCTATACATCCTAGTTGCCAGAAAACTTAGTTTCAGTAGATGGCCATTTGGGATAGGTGGTTTTTTTAGGGGTTATTGTGATCTTGCCCCTATTTTGAACCCCAATTGTGATTTTACCCCTATTTTCTTCCACTTTGTGTTTTTACCCCTGCTTTTCCAAAACGAAGGTTCAATTTACCCATATCCCATGAACAACATGTAACGGTGTTAAAAAAGTTGAAAGATGACAGGGACTGTAAGGGAACGAAGACGAGACAAGTCAATGCTCTCAAACACAATCCTGTCTCGCTCCCAGCTTTTCTCTATGACAAGGTGCCGTCCTGTACGCCCAGTAGTCTGGCAGCAACATCCCTTCAGTGCAAAGACCTCAAGTGCAAAGGTAACATTCTCTTCTTTTGGTCTTGAGATGATATACTCATGGAAAAAAGCACCGACTTGGCACCAAACTAATCTCATGTTTGTGACGATTGCCCGCTCTGGTGGTTGGATCATGCTCAGCTCAGTGATCTTTGCGAAGAGCTCCTCTCCATTCTCATCTGCGCTATCACTGTCCTTGTCCTTCGAGTAACCCTCTGCAACCCACCTCATCACCAAACGTCGCCGCCGAATGATCTCTGACTTGGGGAAGATTGACTGATAAAAGATACAAGCCTTCAAGAAATCTGGGCAAGAACGAAAGTATGAATGTATCCAGCGAAACATATCCTGTAAACAAGCAAACTCATGCCTT